CCTTTCTCCATATTTGAAGTTTTCCTGTGCAAATGGCTTATTCTTATAGATGCTTAAGGACTCTATGAACAACCAACAATCAACCAGCAATTAGTTCCTACCACACTCAGTACCCACCCCCCTCCAACTGCTGCTGCACCAATAACACGAAGTTAAATGCGGTTGTTGTGTATAGTTGCATGTGTGTATGTTGGCTGGATGTATGTATATATGTATGTATGTATGTATGTATGTATGTATGTATGTATGTATGTATGTATGTATGTATGTATGTATGTATGTATGTATGTGTGTATAAGTGAATGATACTTTTCTATCATGCTGTGTTGTTATTGTCTATTTGACGCAATGCGTAGATCCTTATTTGCACGAATGACCTTTCCTCCCTTCTTCCCTACCTCTCCAACCCTTGACCTCTGTTTATACATACTAACGTCCCTTCTATAACGCAGTTTAGTACAAAGCACTTCCACCTAATCACAGTCCATCACGAGTTTCTGAAAGACATCTCAGAATCAGTCGCCTAACTCACTGATATGTAATGCAGATCGTCGCTATGTGACAGTGTCTGCATGATGTCTAATTCCAGCCTTAAGAAACATCTCCGATACCTCTCGCCTCGCTCTTTCGTTCATACCCCCTTCCTTGACCCCATGCAGCTACTCAATCACTTGTTGCTCAGTCCCATCGATCTGTTCTTTTTATCACCTCGACAAGAGATCCAGTAACCGGGTTGGATATCGCGAAGATGCTTGTATTCTCTGATCTAACTAATGACTTAAATCCGTAGATTACAGTTTAATAATGCTGAAAATCGAAAATCTGCTTCTTATTAGAATTAGAGAATTGTGTATTTTGCATTTTGGAGGGAATTGATCCAAATCAATTATTGGGTACTTCTATGGATATATACGCACTCTTACTTCATTCTATCTTAGAAGCATATTGGGTTGGAAGGTTCTTGATTGTATTTTCAGGAATGAGAGTACTGATAACACATGTGTTGGTACTTGCTGCTAGCCTGATTGTCACTGCGTGAGTCATTTGTTTAGCATATTATCATCCATAAAACTTGGTCTGCAAACATTTACCGTCATACATTAGCAAGGCATTTCTAGCAAACCTGACGACAGATAGCATTTTTTGGGGTTAGCCTGAGTAATTCGAATCACTGGTAATCGAATCAGCTGATCAACTGAGGCAAATAATTTTATTACTGACAAAGAAATCTCCTCCCTCTCTTTTGCTTTCTCTTTATCTGTGTTTAAAGAAGCATATAGTTGTATGACCATTCAGAGCTCGTTACTGACCGACGAGTTTTGCTGACTATACTCTTAATTACCAACTTAGAAGATGGAGTTGTCTTAACATCCTGCTCAAAATTAGTGACCCATCCTGGATCCAGTTTTATTCGCTGACCATTTCCAGGGATCGACCAATGCGATGTTATCAGTGCAATTCGGCGAATGATGCAAACTGCGATTCGAGTGAAACCAAAGACCTGAGGCAATATATCAAGTTATGTCCACTACTAAAGGAGGGCACTTATGCCAGTAATAAACCCATTGCATGCCGTAAAATCGTCCAAGTATGTTGTGCAAATTTAATTTACATACTTATTCTTATCAGTCTTCACCAATCAATCTTCTCTTTGAAAATTGATGTGATATTAATTACATTAATTTGCTGCTTGAACTCTTAAAGCGTTCAAAGCATGAGAAATGATGCAAATATGCCAAAATTCTGATTTTTTTTCCATTTGACATTTCAGTGATTGTTTGTATTCATTTAGCAAAATATAAATCGCTACATTACAATGAGAACTTGTTTTTTTTTTCGGGACAATTTTCAGTTTTCTGAATTATTTTGCAATGAGAATGATCTGAGAATTTCAGAGTGTAGAAGAATTGCCAGTGCAAATAATCAGGGAGTGCGCATATACGGGTGATAAACAACTAGACGGAATGCGCAAACAGGGCAATAAAGCTGTCAAATTGTTGTACTACCAATGCGAAAATGTGGATGGCGTAAGTTTGAATCCTATGACATTTTAACTTTGATAAGGGAAGGTCAAACATTTTCACATAACTCAGTACTGAGCATCTTACAAATAAGCGAGGAACATAAGACTTTAATTGAATTATAAATGCTGAATCATTGGCTGATTAGAAAAATGCCCTTGTTCAATGTATTATTTATTTAGGAGTCAGTAATACATTGTGTGCTCCATGAATTCTCATTCCTGAATATATTGCAGGATATGCCTTGTAACGGTACACAACAGATAACGACTCGATATCTCTCCTTCACCCTTCTCCTTATAATTATAATTGCGATAATACATACTAAATATCAGTAGAAAGTTGTCAGTTATTTATATCCACTTGTGTCATTCCAACAATATTTCCCACTCCTCAACTCCCCATTTATGCAAGAAGTGAACGTTTCTGGTTGTGAAAATTCCACCTGTCTTTCGAAAGCTATAATAATAATATGTCATAATATATGCTACCAGCCACGACTAACGTCTCATGAAGGTCTTGTAATTTTTTGTAGCCGATACTACTGCGCATTAGCACTGCACTTTATATAAGGATAGACAGTTGTAGTTAGATATTTCTGCATTATTTACATAAGACAAAAATAATGTGAATTTAAATATCTCTTAAATATTTAGTGACTATGCTGACTTGCTTATATTTAAATTTTTAAATGTCTTTTACGTCTTTTGCATATGTTGCTAAGTTCTAGAAAAATTTATTTTTAAATTTTGAGTATTATTTTTTGAAATGCAATAAAGATGTAGATTTCTACTGATTCCGAGAACTTTCCAGACTGCTGAACCGAACAGGAATCTAAATTAGCTTTCTGAAAGAAGCTAAGCGTTAAATGGCTGGGTCTAATTTACACTTCAGTCTGATCGTCAGTGGCTGGAGGAAATATCAGTAATAGGGAAACAATATCGCTAGAAGTGATGGTGCTGACGGAGTGTCTGCTTTTTTTTTCAAACCCTCCTGCTATATTCGAATTGTCTGATACCACTTTCTAAAGCCTAACTTATTTTTTGATCAAGCAATCATGGAGAACAATTTTTACAATTATGGAATTGCGTGCAAAGGACTGTTCTCTGACAACAGGCAGATACTAGTCAATAATGCTGACTGGTCTGGATAAAAGTAGTGTATTTAACCATGTAAGCTTCTTTGCTACTATGGTAATATAACCTAGTCTATAACAGTTGTTAATTATATCGTTTCCTTCATTATCCAGACGATGGCAGCAGCCATTCTGGAGTTGCATTGTTGATAGGATTCAGGCTGACTAGGAATAACAATCCCCATTTTGAATATGCTCTGCTTCGCGCAATCATTTAATTCACAATTTTTATATTTGTCAGAATGCATATATTCAAATAATATGCACATTTCTTGAGTTAATTACGAAGACTATATCTTCATAATGTTTCCATTTTGTGGTGGTTGTTTGTGATTCGAATCACCTTTTTGTCTTTTTAACTTTAAACTGCCGGAAATACGCTTCGCTGTGCTTTATTAGGACGAAATCATTGCTTTTCCTGCACAGGAGCGGAGCATCTGATCTCTTTCAGAATGTTTTGTCCTTATTACTCTTACAGCAGAGGACTATACCTATCTATTAGATATAATGGTTACACAAACTATGAAGATATGTAACCATTCCTTCCTTACCATCAATTTTTCGTTAAATCGAGGAGACATGCATTCTATCTTATATGCCACTTAATTTTGAACCTTTTTCCTTTACTCCATTTCAAATTTTTAAATCAAAAGTCATTAATTGGAAGCTTTTTTCAATTTCCATCTAAAATTTTACACGACCATGGAGGTGTTTCAATGATTTCCACGTCTTCACAGAGCAAAATGAATTTATGAAATGAATCGGATGACTGAAAACATTTTGGTCATCATCGATTAACATTTACATCGAAGCAGTGCCCAAAGTATGCATGTGCATCAAAGTATTGCATGGTTTTGATTTCAACATTGTAATTTGAATTGTCCATTATTTAGGGTCACAGGGTAAGGTCGCGTTTGAATGAGGAAATAATTGAATGAGGAAATAATGTTATTTTTAGGTATTACTGTTATACTTTCATGTTGTCCTCATTTAAAAATAAAGTTAATATAGAAAAGGAATAACACAAAAGCATGGACAGCTTAACAAGAAGTTGGAGGATGTTTTTTTTTTCTTTTTTTTTTTGTAATTAATGTATGAGTCCTTTTCAACAGATGAGCAAATCTCGGAAATTTCAAAAACGGTAAGAGTTATGGGAGAAGAGTGAGTAGAGATAAATGACAGGAGATAATGACAATAATTTGTTAAAGGATGACGATATTTATCACAGTAAACAATAAATGAATTAGTGAACAATTAGTGGGCATGGAAGGGTCAGAACGGGTTCAATGTATGCCGGTGAATTGCATAGTGAAGAGTGAAATTCGAAATTCTTCACTTGCCACTCCCTTTCCATGCACCCAGTAACCACTATTCCTTCAAAATTTTCCCCTGAATTCATGCCTTCCCTGTCACTATCCTCAAGAAAAAAAAAGAAAAAACAGTTAACCGGAAAGTAGCTAAGGATTTCTCAGACAGTTGATACGGTTGGATCTGTATGTAGCTATACTTTGGTAGATATGTTTATTTACTAGTCAAAACTTTTCCAACCTTTTTCTTTCCTTTTCTGATGGAATTTTATGCTTCCTTCCTTGCATTTCCTTTAAATGGTCAAAATCTAAATTTTCTTACTTATTATCAATGCCTGTGATATTCTTAAACAGAAAAAATTTCAAAAGTTTGGATTAATGTTCCTTCCTTACTTGTCAATTGATTTGTTACTGTTCGTGAGATTTAGACATTATCAATCGGTTTCTCCTTCCCTTCCTTCTCTCATAGAAACTTGGGAGAAGGTGAAAACTAGCTGAAGAAAGTCATCATCATTTGTCAATTTATGAATACCAGAGCTGTTCGAAATGTTCCAGTGATGACTTTACTATTCGGCATATTTTAGGGTCGTTACATTCACATGACAAATAATTATATCTTATCGTTTTGTTTTGAAGCATACGCACTTCATCGCTCTGTATTTTTAGTTCTAATGCATCATTAGATTCTAAATTCTGTATTAGAACAGAACTTCAGAAGTGATACATGTGGTCACTCCTGCTGATATCATCCTTCTACATTCAGAAGATCAATTCAACTGGAATTGAGCTATTGCCAAGTAATTCTTGCAAATTTTGAGACGGAGAAGCCGCTGAAAACACGAACATAGGTCAATGTATGAAGTAGAGGATTTTGGGAAGTTATTACTAATACGTTATATGTGATGAGAATATCACAGGGGATTGCGATTGTCGTGACTGGAACGGTGGATGCAGGAGAAATGGCGAAAAGTGGATCGACGATGACACTTGGGTCTATAGTTGTAATGGAAAGGATGGGTATACAAACTTTTTTACTCTTCTACACATAGAGATGGAAATGGAAAGGATGATTCTTGCAGCTCTTTCTGAAGAATTTGATTTACATATGAAGTGCTCCAAATGATAGTTTGCAGTTATCAATCAGAATTTCTGGGCTGTCAAGGTAGCGATCGATCCGGGAAGTTGTTCATACAGGCTGATGATAATAAAACTGTTGACGGTTTCTGGTTTAGTTGTAGCTACGATACGTTCAGACTTAAATATGAAGAAGGTAAGCCATGCATTTTCTAGAGAAGATTTAATGACTTGATGATTTCATGTACGAGAATCTATCCGAAGACATCATTTGCTGATTTCTTCATTCTGAATAGTAAAACGATCTACATTTAATTTCAGAACCTCGATGTGTGGTGAATGGTACACAGTATCATGTAGGCGAACTGTTCCGCGAGGATTATTTCCAGTGGCTGTGCTTGGAAAACGGTCGATGGGTCACAGGTAGAACTATTATTCATCCCATGGTTTAATGTTGTATGTAATAACAAGTTGTGTAAAGGTTAAGAATATGCATGTATACATAATGAGTATCCAGTTTCAGGTTGTTATTATCAGAATGAGACAAAGCATTGGATTTTGTTGAGAATTGGCCAGACCGGCTATAATGGCCTCGTGAAACATGTCTGTGATCAGTATGATGACTATCCAGGAAGGGTACAGTACTACGCTGAGGTAATTTTTTCAGTTATGGTTTTTGATTTCTCTTCATTATTGCTGTACCTTCCAGTATTACCAAGACTGTCCCATCATTGCAGTAATGCAGCTCTGCATACCATTGCACAAGCATATGAAGGCTGCACGTCTTTGTACGACTTTGCGAAGCTATTAAAACATTCCCTCCCAAAACGGACTAACTGGATCTTCACCAAGATACTCTGATCATATCATTCATTCTTCTGTATTTCTGATTCTACACTGATATTTATATGTGTGCTGGAGGCATAATTTTTTAAAAAAAGAAATTTTTTACGAAAAAATTTTTTTTTTCTACAAAAATTTCTTTCATTTTCTTGCTTACAGGTGCGAAAGGATGTGCCTGTCAAGCATCCCCCAAACAAAGGCAAAAATCAGAATTTACCGGAGCTGATTGATAATCGTTTGAAGGAAGCACCAGTTCGATGGCTTCATACAAATGCAGCCAATTTCATAGTCAATAATGAAGGCTTCAAGTCAAAGATCCGTTATTTGCGTGATTTTAGGCAAATATAAACAGTGATACAAGTTTGTGTACATTCTGAACTTCATTAGATTTTTGTTTTATTTGGATAAACTTTTAATCTGTATACGAAATTATGAAAATATAAAATTCGTATCCTAACATTTCCTTTTATGATATGAAGAGTAGTGCAGAGAACGACCAGACAATCTCAGTGGTCATTATTCGTGGAGGATCATAAGAAGTACTCCTTAACATACAATGCAGTTTCTCAAGAAATTATAATATTTCTCTCTCTTCATCATTGTTTTCTTTCTAAGATAATAATAAAGTTCGAACCACTCATCCCGAAGTTTATCCCTGCTGATATTCACAGGCCTCTTCTCGCCTTTTACTCTCACTACTGTCTCATCACCTAATAATCACTGTCCTTCCCTGAGGGTTTACCATAGACTTCATCAGGATAAATGCAAATGTTGAACTTCATGCTTTATTATACATTTCACCTCGTTGCAGTGTCTCTTCAAAATTCTTACTTTGCTTCTTTGCAGTGGACAATTTGAATACTCAGCAAGCGATTTATTGCTGGAAAAGTGGAAAAGCTGTAAGTCCAGTTGTAATATGTACGACATAATAGAGTCGTGATACAAGTTGTAACATCCTCTACTATTATCACTATCCGAATTGCAGTAAGAGGTGATTGATGTTAATGCTACATTCTTGGAAGGAAATATCAGCTTGCATGCTTGATGGCAACAACTTTCGCTCTTCTTTTAAATCCTAATTACGATTGTTCTTCAATTCCATTATTACTGGGGTTTTTGATACAATTCAGGAAAGTACCACAAGCACAAAGGTTGAATTGGAATTGCTATACAAAGGAATTTCTCTGCATTACCACTGTATAAGTATACCTTGAATGAGAGAAGAAACCAACGTGCTAAAAGTAATTTGTTACTTTTTTATTTCTGCACAGAATTACATTGCATTGAAACGGATGACACTTCTCGCTGTTTACAATACACTGTTTACAACACTCAATATATTCTGCTCTCGGACTATTCTATTATGATCAGATCATCAGCCACTCTTTTCTGTCATCATTTCCTGTTTAATTGATATTCGAAAACAGGTCTGTTTGTGGTCGCTTTACATAAAGTGATTCAGACTATCTGTCGTTCATCTTTAATTTCTAACTTCCTTACTTTTTTAATTCTCAAATATGTCAAATGTCCCCTAAAAATTAGTCCTATTCAACAGTAACGGCTATTAAAAATTCGGTAGAAACTATTGCAGCAAAGATATAGGAAGAAATCACAAGTTTCGAATCAATATTTTTGATAACATATAAAATGATTTTCTCATCCATCTTAACAAAAAAACGTTTCCTGAAAGATTCATTGACAGTTCATTCCTTTATCTCTCCAATTCTCTTTCCCTTCTTATGCATATTCCAGTATAGATTTTTATTGCGGACATGTCCCTTTGTTGTTGATATGTAAACATACATGTAAAATTCAGTTTTTCATTAGAAAAACAGATCCACTTTTGTTGACAAGCTATATGACGAAGATTCCTTGTAACTTGATCATCTGTATTAAATTCTGTTGCTCCCTTGAGAAAGAAGAAATTGACATATATCTGAATCATAGAAGAAAGAGGAAGTGATCAGTCAAGAATTCTTCATGGTGTTTGATGATATTACTATGTGGTTGCGTAAAATTAATGAACTGAGGTTGAATACAGGAAGAACTGAATTCTGTAGATTGGGTTCCCCTTCGAAGTGATCAGTAGGTAAAAAGTATAATAGAATTAGAGGAAAAGTTGGATGACAGATAAAAAGTGTTGCAGTGCCACTTGCTGCGATAACAGCTTGATGTGATTATACACCATATTGACGCACCGTTGTTTTACTGCTTCATTTCTGTACGAATCGCTTAAACGTTCGACGGTCACTCTTTTGAGATAGGGTTACTCATAACATATAGTAGCATTATCAGTCATTAATTAGCTTGCTATTGGTCAATCAGAGTTCCTGAGATGTATACAATTGGATGATTCCATCCAGGTCTCTCATTGGCTTTAACTGATAATAATCTCGGTAAGTCGGATGGACAAGAGGCAGAAGAGCGTAGAATGAGTGGGGTGGTAGCGTTGTTCGCCTTCGCAGTCATCGCATCGCGGTAACGGTTTCATCTTAAGTTATTCATTTCTTAATAATTGTTCTCCATTTCTACGCATATATTATAACTGTTGGAAATTGAGATGACCTGTAATCGGTAAAAATCCCTCATTAGAATAAAACTTTATTATGAAGTGAGTTTAAAAAAAAAAAACAGTTCTTTCAATTTAATAAATAAGTATGCTAGATTCTAACTCCAATTTTCTTTACATTTCACTGATTTACAAGCAGTTTATTGACATGTTTTTGCTTAAGCAAAGAAGGCATTAAAAAATGATAGTTAAGGCAGTCTTAGTACAATATAGTATACGATCCAACAACACTGAATCTAGTAAAATGCATTCTATGTTTTTGATGAGTAACACAAATACAGGAATAAATGCATATCCTTTTCTTTCGAATCCATCATATCTATTCTAGCTGACTGTCATTACATTGAGGGAATTGGAAAAGTTAACTAAGGCAGTTAAATTATGGCTAAATTTTTGTGAAAGTCAGACAGCGATCGAATAATCCTATTGATAGCAGTGAATCTGTGTTGGAAGGTTTTGATTAAAAGGCATGGAATATACATGCCACAAACCATCCCGAGAAACTGTCATTTAAAGATTCAGTCATTGGCAGTTGTGAAAAGAGCAGTTGCAAAGAAATGAGAAATTCAAAGAAATCGTGAGAAAACATGCCAACCTTTCCCGTATCGTTGTGATCGGAAATTCAGCACACTTCCTGTATAAATTATGAGCCAGTTGTCTAAAAAATTTGATATTTCGCACTGGCACCAGAATTCATTAGGCTGCAAATTTCTTACAAATGTATTAAGTGAAATATGCAACTGCTGTTTGGAACTGTCATACATAATGACTTTTTATAGTATAAAAGACTATTGATAAGAAATACGAAGAGTCAGGTGGAATGGAATGCAATTCTACCTCTGCTATCAGTTTTTCAGAACGTCGTTTACTATATCCCCAAATGTACAATTATGCACTTATGTCCAATGAAGAGTCATGGAGAATCCACTTTTTTTTTCGTTAAACATTTGCTCCTTGGTAGTCAACTTGGAACTAAATCAGCCATACTGAGGAGATTTAACTGTTTCAGATTGTAAGCTGAGCTCATCGTTATCATCATATTTCATTTCATTTCATCAATTCTTCGACCACTTCTCCCTTATCAGAAAAGGGGTCCTCTACACTCTCATTTGATTCATAAAGAAAGAAAGGGAGAGAGAGAGGGAAAGAGAGAGGGGGAGAGAGAAATTTCACAGAAATTTCCCAATGTTTTTTATTCTACACGATCTCCGAAACATCTGCAGAGGGCTACTGATAAGAAAGCATATACGCAGAGAGTTATTCATCATTTAAAGATTATAAAAAGGTATTACAGATAGATTGTTTTGCGAGCTAAGAAGTAGTGAGGAAGTACGACTTCAGTGTTATTACCAGCTCATTACAGTTACCAGAAATAAGGATCAAATCAGGCATGAATCAGGTTTGTGGAATTTTGTTTTGCTAAGAAGACATAGCCACGATGACATACTCGACCGGTCCAACGACCGATCGAGTATGAGATGCTCTGCTGTATTGTAGAGATCACCGCGACGAACGCCATTCATTAACTCCCCGTGCACTTCATTTCATTTCATTAATTCTTCAGCCACTTCTCCCTTCCTATCAGAAAAGAGGTTCTCTGCACTCTCATTCGATTCATAAAGAAAGAAAGAGGAGAGAGAGAGAGGGAGAGAGGGAGAAAGAGAGGGGGAGAGAGTGATTCGTTTGCTTTCCTGAATTTGATTGCATCATTTCATGAACAATAAGCTGTGTTGTGCTGGACAGGTCACAAAGAGTCCTTGTCATACTCACTGGTACAGCGAGTCATCTCATTGTCAGCATGAAACCAAAAATCTTCGCTGGTCACTGGAACCAGGTATTTCACATCTTTCTCCAAGGAATATATTTTTCTCAAGTATATAGTTAGCAACAGACAGGGTGCTTTCTCTTGGTCTCGAAGGCGGACTTGTCATGCCTCAAAACACTCTTCTATCTCGAAATGGAATAACTGAAAACATTGAAACAATCAATTGTCTCTCATCGATTCATTTCTGCTGCATCTTTTCTGCTATGGTGTGCTTTTGAGGCCTGGTATTTTCTGATGATGGCTTGTCAGATCAGCTGATACTTTTCCATCCTTCTTCAGCTAGTATGCTTTGTAAAGCACATAGTATTTTTATTCGTAATGCTTTTCACTCATTTTCCAAATCTGCAGAATATTTTGCAGAGATAATTCCCATTAATATTTGAGGAAATAGCTAGCGTAATAAGAATGTGCGCCACTGTCCAACCCTTTAATACTTTAATCACATTGTTGACCGTCGAAGAATTCTTCACCAACTGGGCTGTATATTTCAAAAAGGTGACCTTAATAATCAGTGATAGTTTTAACCAGAATATATCAATTTAGTAAGACAAGGTGGCAGAGAGTCTTTTGAAGAGGCTTGTGAAAGAACGTCTAAACGCATCGTCTATGGCTTATAACTTCTGCGGTTTATGTGCGCCTACTATTTCACTAAAGGAAGCCTTCAATTCAATGAATCACCGAAAGAACTGAGCGCTGAAAATATGTTTCTGCACTAAACAGTGATCTCCTTCATGTTGCTTATTCACGCACATTGCCTATTTAAGTTTCTTAGGTGCAGAAGAACAAATGAATCCGATATCCCAGTACTGGACACTCTAAAACTTGTGCGCCCATCTTCGCATTCCGTCAAGGGTAGTTGACGGAACGCGAAGATGGGCGCGTATGTTTGTTTATATCGCCAGCAACTGCCCGCCAGATAGCTTTCTCTCCCTGTCGTCATTTTCCAGTAGTGGTCAATGATGGCATTCAGTTCTGTTCGGTTTTGTCGAATTGTGCTAACCGTCTTCACATCATTAGCAGACTGTTTTGTTCTCGCAGATAGCTTCTTTCTTCCATATTGATCCGGTTATTCATGCTCCAGGAAATACTGAAACGATGCATTTATCATTGCGTTACACAATTAATAAAGCGCTCCATTAAGCGCGGTACGGGAATCCAAATTAAATTACTGCGCTGCTCATTGTGTCATTGACCTGCTCTGTTAAGATTTAGCTCAGATGATGATAATCAGATTCCACCATCTTTCATCTTTCTTTCAATATTTCAACTCAAAGAGCTTTAAAGGTCGCGATTAGAAAGAACATGTAGATGATCAAAAAAGGAGCGAAAGTGAAGGTTCACTTTACAACAAATTTTTTCTTACCAAAAAATTGCATTGTTCATTTTTACTTGAACTCGCACAATGCGTTATAATATAAATATTGGGATGAAATGTGGGAATCATCAGCTGTGATCATTAGCTTAATGTAATTTAGGAAACCTTTGAGTTGAAATATTCACGTAAACAACCGCAAGCGGAGAAATTCTGCAGCATTGAGAAAGTGAGGTTGAAATTGTTACCAAAGAACATCCTAAAATCAGTGTTATCATTTTTCCCTATACTCGATTGGCTTCCAAAATACAACTGGAAAAGGGATCTGAATGGCGATATTATCGGAGGCTTAACTGTTGGTATCATGCAAGTCCCGCAAGGTTAGACCCAACTTTCATTTTAGTTGCCCTTACCTTCGTAGTTTAATTGTTTGCGTCCCTTTATGAGCCAGAAGATATATGATCAGGCGAATGACCAGCTAAGTACTTGACCATTTATTTCATTTGTCCTACATTTGGTGATAATTAAAAGTAAAAACTTCCATAAAATATGCGTATATGATGAATTCGAGAATGTTCAGGAATGGCATACGCAAATTTGGCTAGTCTTCCTCCAGTTTATGGAATGTATACGTCATTTTTCACTTCAACCTTTTATGCATTCTTTGGAACATCCAGACACATTTCAATTGGTATGTGACTCAACTGTCATTCCAACTTCCATCATTTCGTCGAATCGCTACTCTTTCATTATGGGGAGAATATTGGGACATAGATATAATCTCGTAAAAAGAAGAAAAAATCTGGAAGTGGCGAAGAAGTGGATATAGCGGCTGTTGCAAGCCTGCAATTCTTTCAAGTCCTTCTTCTGCAGTAGTGTGAGCCTTAGGCTTTTACGCTCCTTTATGTGTAGAATTTCACTTTCTGGTGAAATGGAAGAAAAGGTAAACTATCAAGGATGATCTGAAGTCTTTTAGAACCATTTTCATTATAATAGAGAGGGTATTTCTGAATACTTAGCATTATTTATCCTTTGAGATCTTCGTAAGTCAAGCAAAATTCTGAAATGATAGATGGGATAAGATGAAAGACATCACAAAATAATTTTTCGCCATGAGAGCTTCAAATTCATTTAAAAGTTAATAAAATGAATATGTATTGCTTCCTGTACCATTTTGGTGTTTCTTCCGAACAGACTTGATCCCTTTAGCCAAGTTCTCTTCACCGACTTTTCCCGCCACATCGTAACTAATGAACAATTTTGGTGAAAAAGATTTTACAGGTGCTTTTGCCGTGGCAAGCTTGATGGTAGGAGCGGTGCGATTACGTTTTGTACCCGATCCAGATATAGTCTTTGAGGTGATAAATGGTACCAGTGTGGAAATCGTGAAACCAGTAGCAAGTCCAGTCGATTTTGGTTATGAAGTGTCTCCGATTATGCTTACAAGTACGCTTGCTATGACTGTTGGACTGTTTCAAGTAAGCAATCAATGGATCCAAAGAAACACGTGCAGTTCAGTTAAATAGAGTTGATCAGTCATTCCTTAATCACTGAGCTCAATAAATAAGATAACTGAATGATTTGAATCCATTAATCTTTGGGTCACCTATTTGAGCTAAATATCCACTGAAGGATTGGATAATGTAGGCAATTAGGAGGTTCGGTACTAATCAGTATAATAAAATTTAAAATTACCGAATGCTGTAATACTCTCGGAAAGAAGTTTCTAAGAATGGTTTGTGAAATAATCTTCCTCCTTTCTCGTTAGATTTCGTTAAGAACTAATTACCTATCAGCTGACTTGTGTATCTCCAAGCAATGACTAAATGCCATTCTCTACTACATATTTTCCCTGTGGCGAATAGTTTCACCTATAATAGTTGACATGCACAGATTTGCGGAATATTTGCAAGGTCGCTCTGAGTTCGCATTTCACTGTTCTTACATGAGACTTGCTTTGAAATGGAAAAATGTTGATCTATAAAAGAGTGGTTTGCTGGCATTCTAATCTCTATGAGTGGTATCGGCTAAATTCTTGAAAATAAATGTGTGCTAGTAACTAATTTTTTTTCGAAATTTTTATGCTTTGTAATTCTAGGTGCGTTATCACTGTTATGAACTTTTGACTGTCGTTTGGAGAAGTTAAAACGAGGAAGTTTATTATCTAATTTATTAAGAGTAAAATATTTAGAAAGCAATTGAAGTATAGTGAATGTTTCTGTTCAGGATGAAAAAAAAATTTTTAATGATATGTATTCAGAAACCAATGTTTTAGCGAGAAATAAAGCAGCGGCGGTTATGAAATGTGGCATAGATGCTTAATAAGTGATAACAGCAAGTTTCCAGCTAGTAATGGCGATGATGGGTCTAGCATTCCTTACTTCTTACATGTCGGATGCCCTTATTTCCGGCTTCACTACTGGATCAGCTTTTCATGTTTTCACAGCACAACTTAACAAAATTATCGGTGTAAAATTACCGCGTTATTCCGGTTTCGGCATGTTATTCTTCGTAAGTCTCAAGTCATTCATGTCCACTTTTCTTAATTGCAAAATTCTCATCTCTTACTTTACTTCCACTCAAACTTGGATTACTGGATGTGTTTTTATGAAACTAAGAAGTAATATCGATACTGATGATTTCTTATTTACTTTCATAATTTCCTTTCCCTTTTTATTCCCCAATGACATGTTTTTTTTTTTGTCCCGGATAACTCATTTTCCTTATTTCTTATTAGTGCCGTCTTTGTTATCATTTGCAATCACCGAAATGTATTTAGAAAAAGATAATTATAGATAATACGTGATCTGATGCTGGTTCTGCCGCAGGCGAATTATTGGACTCTGGGCATATCAGTATCGTCAATTATATTTTTGTCTGTCGGCCGTGACTACGTAAATCCATGGTTAAAAAAACGGTCACCTGTGCCATTGCCTATTGAGCTTATTTTAGTAAGCGTTGTAAAATCTCATATCTGTCCAAAGGATTTCTAGCTGCTGGAAATCTGATCCTGCCATGATCCCGGTAGCAAGTTATTCTATATTCAAAAATTGGTGGAAAGGCATTAACTGATGGCGTAGACACGATGATGTCAGTGTACATGTCTCGGACAATAGAACAGTGTACCAGCATCCTGAAAGTTCCCGCTAACTGTCTTTCAGGTTATTTTGGTGACGATGTTTTCGGTATTTATGGATCTGAAGAACAACCACGGTGTAAAGATTGTCGATTATATCCCTCAAGGGTAAGCATGTTATAAAATTTAATAAAGCAAAACCTTTCTGTTTTTCATTCTTGCTGACATCTGATATGCGTTCATTTTACCGAAGAAATTCATTTTTCAAGTTAAACTAGAGATTTTTTCTTGAAAGTTTACAATTCGACGTTTTTTCTTTTTTTTATAGAGTTCCGAAACCGTCGTTACCGAATTTTGATCTAGTACCATATCTTCTCAATGATGCCTTTGCAATAGCAATTATTTCATATATGTTTGTTATATCGATGGCTAAATTATTTGCGAAGAAAAGGCATTATAAGATTGATCCTGCACAGGTATATATTGATGATTCAAATGCAGTTAAAGCTGTAGATGACAATTTTTTTCTTTTTGGACATTTACCGACCATAGAAAGCCAATTTGAACTAGGTGAACTAGATAAAACTTAAAAAAACACTGCGGAAAAGTCCAAAACAAAGGATACGATAATGTAGATATCGTAGATGTTGAATTCGTTTTTTCAACCGCCTATTTCCAAACAATATTCACACTGTTTCTGTATTACCTAGGATTTATATGCTGTTGGCTTAATGCACACATTATCATCGTTTTTCCCGATCTTTCCTGCCGGTGGTTCGCTTTCACGGTCAGCCGTTTGTGAACAGTCTGGTGCTAACACTCAGGTCATTTTCTGTGTTCAATATTTTGAATACATCACCGCTTCCCTTCTTCATGTTTTGAATTGTTTCAGCTGAACATCTTGTTCTCAAATGCATTACTATTAACTGTTATTGCTTTTATTGGACCTCTTCTTGAACCTCTTCCTATGGTTAGTTTTCGTTCTTCACTTTTAACTAGATCTTTTTCCTAAGATTTCTTTTTTCTTGTGGAGCCGTATATATCAAACAACCGAAACTACCTGTACATTACGGTTTCGGTCCAGTTATTCTAACTGGTTTCCTTTATCAAGGACATCGATGTAGAATGAACGCTAAGCTCTTATCGTAAAAAGATTTAAATCTACATTTGCCATATTCAATAAGGTAGGAGAAATTCGTAATGAACAATCGTATCGGTCAACTAATAATTTGAGTCAAATTATAGTGCGTACTGGCTTGCATCGTGATAGTAAGTCTGCGAAGTTTATTCATGCAGTTCGGTGAATTATCAAAATTATGGCGAATCTCAAAATTTGATTTCGTTAGTGCTTGTCATTTCTTTTTTTATAAGTTTTGCTCCAGCTGTGATATACAATAAGGTTGATATTGTTTATGAGATATTGCTAACCAATTAATCAATTAGCAATTTACTCACATTTAGGCAGTGTGGTTGGTGAGCTGTATAGCAACAGTATCCTTCGATGTAATGACTGGTCTTACGATATCAGTCCTGTTTACACTTATCTCTGTGGTCCTTAGAGAACAGCGGTTTGCAGTTTCATTTATTTTACAGTGTCGATCAATAAACTGCATGCAGTTAAATTGATGTAGTTAAACCATTTTCTTTTCAGACCTAATATATTCGTATTGGGTAGGACGGCACATCGTGAAATCTACAGACCTCTGATTTATTATTGTGGTTTGAAACCAGTGAATGAAAATATTGAAATTATTCGTTTCGAAGCACCTCTCAATTTTGTCACGGTGTCAAGTTTCCTTGATAAAATGAGTGATGTTTTGCGAGATGATGCAAATGAAGATCACGAATTGCGATGTGTGAAAAATGTTAGTCTTCCGATACTATTTATGAAGGATGTTGTTGATGACCTAACGGATATGATGAAGTTAACATGCAGATAATGTAGATAGCCAAGCATGCTGTTTGCAGTGGTTGCTTTGCATTAGCATTCATCTAGTGCATTGCACTGAAAGCTCGCATAATCATGTATGGCTTACCTAATTGGAAAAATTTTTCAAAATCCACTAATTGGCGTGGAAGACAGTATAAGTTTTTCGAAGTTGATTTTGTTTTGGAAACTTTCTCACAAGCAATAACTACAATCACGTAGGTGCTTTCTTTTCCGTACGTCAAAGAAAGAACATGAAAGTATTGAGTCCTTTTTTTCAACTTGGCAATACTTTTTTGGATTTAGAAATCGGTTCCTTGACTCAGTGATAGTCAAGACTTAGCATCTTTGAAACCAAAAAAAGTGACATCTTGAATCCGTATTTTCTGAACTTTCCACTTCATTTGGCTTGCACTCTCATCTCATCTATATATAGTAATTCAGTTAAATTTCAGGATGAAATGACAGCTTCTAAGGCAGTCGCAGAATCGAATTACGAAGAGCTGTTGCAGAGGGAAGTGGTGGCGACAAATAACACTAAAGAGCAACCTTGGTATGAAATAGTTTCTCCAGGAGTTGTTGTCGTCGACTGTGGGGCTATATCGAACATTGATACAATGGGCATTGAAGCGATCAAACAGGTTCACGACGCAAGATTTTTTCAGCCTAAAATTTATTTTACCATTAGTGATGTGGGCTACATCCTTGCAGTCTTATGAATCGAAAGAAATAAATGATGTTGTAGATTTATCAGCTTTCTACTCTTTAAAATGTCAGATACTACCATGTTGTATGATGCCACCAGTCCAATGTCACTTATTATTCAACTAAATAATGGCCCTTTCTTTCGTTCTTTCTTTAAATATACCGTGGAATGCAAAATGAATTCTACTCGTAAATCTTGCAATTAAGCGTGATTTTTTACCCATTTTAGGCTTATTTGCAAGGAAAAGAAGTGAATAAGACAGTTCTATTCGCAAATGTATCAGGTTCGTATTTTGTAAAACAGTTGAGAATTCATGAAAACAGTCTGTCCCGTTAATGTGTTGAAGCATAATAAACAGACTTCCTTAATAGTAATGAGGTCGTGCAAAGAGGTCATGGTAATAACTTAAACAGTTTGTGAAATTATATGAACGTTCCATTATTGAGTTATTATCTCTTGTTCTGAGTATACGTTAAGGTTCTGTTACCAAACCTTGTTGTACATCGATATTACCGTTCGTTTCAATGATTAAAGTTCAGACTGATCATCAACATAAAAGACAGATTCTGTGTAATTCTAAGTTAGCTGTATTTTGGAGATGAAAATGATGTTAATGCAAAATTGATTTGTGGGAATCTTGAAGTTCATTTTATTCCAGAAGCAATACTGGATACATTCGAGCGAATCGATTTCTATTCTTCGGTGCCCAAGGCTTCCTTTTACCCATGTGTGGAAGAAGCTGTTCGCACTATGAACAACAATGCAATTGAATAAAAAATCATACAGTTTGGTTAAATTAGCTGTCTACTAAAATCTGTGGTAGATTTTCGTATATATACATATATAGAAATCATTCGGACACAGTTTTAAGGTGTTTTCAAAAGACTAGAAAGATCAAGGTGAAAATTATTTCGCACTAATAATAATGCAGTTATCAAGCCATTCGAAAGAATTCAAATTTGCATGAATATTTGGAAATGTCACTCTTGTTGTACATCAGGGTGGATCAGAAGCACGTACCACGTAGATCAGACAAATTTCCTGCTGATGCAAAAAGCTATATAGAAGAAGAGATGAAACATTTATCTTCATTGTTTGATCAGCTCAGTTCAGAGAATAATTGGTTCGCAGTGGCTGTAAGCATTGTATCATTCTTAACTGCTTGTTTGTTGCGAAAAGTTAGTGCATTTGGTGACAGCAGTGAAGAAGGACTGTATTCATGTGCTTATAAATTTCGTCTTTTATTAAAAATTGCAATTTGACGTAACTTATTTTGATCCAAATAGACCTTATCAGAGTTTCCAAGTGGATTTACATTTTTAGTTAAAGTGAGTTTTAATTGGGGATGGATTACATCACTTCCTAAATATAAATTAAATGTTCTGGGCATTAAATTAATCAGTGGTAATTAAGAAATGAATGTAGCTCGTTCTTGCTAGTTGTAACCTATCCAGGAGATACCCAAGATTACCTTGATGGCAAAGGAATGTGTGCTTATCTATCAGATCTAGGGAACCGTCAAACCGGAAACGTTTCGTTCGTATCAAAAAGAGAACTTGAATAAAAGCATTTTCAGCGAAGGCAACCAGGAAAAATTAAGAGTTGAAAATGGCGGTATTTGATGTTGACAATATGATTAGTCGTTTATTAAATGTGGGTATGGCTGGCGGGCGACTCACAACTCAGGTAGGGTTTATATACCTGATCTTTTCATCTCACTCTCTAAATTGATCTGAATTGACTAACTACTCCAAAAGGAAAAGAGGAGATATGGAGTGTTCCTTAGACTGAAATCCAACTTGGGTGCAATTACCCATCAGTGGTAAACCAAGAAAAATGAGATCTTGATCAGTTATTAATTATTCAATAAAAGCAAAAATTGCGCCACAACCTCTATTGTCGATTATTCCATTCTGTACTACTCGAAAACAATTAGTGAATAACCAGAGTCCACTGATGAAGCTTGAAAAAATGCTCCAGAAACACGCCAGAAGTCTATATGAGGAGTAAAGTTAACCATTGAATAACTGGTTCCAAAACCACTGGTACCACCAAAACCATCCAACATCATTTGAAGTGTTTAATTCAAAACTGCTTTAATAACTTTGAACCGACACTGATTTGTTTGACAAAGGAGTCAAAGGGATTATAGGTCGCTGAAGAAGAACTCCACAGAGTATGCCAAAAAGCGAAAGAAGTATTCATAAGCCAAAGCAGCCTCATTGAAGTTGATCCACCTCTCGTCGTTTGTGGTGATATCCATGGCCAAGTGATAAAACTTACCTCATTCCAATTTTAAATTCTAGGGGACCTCCACAAGCTAGAGAGATTTTTATGTCTCTTTAGCCTGTGGAGGTTAAAAGTGTTAATAAAATCTCACAAATAGACGATTTTCCATCAACTGGAACAGAATACTTAGTCCTCTTCAGGATCATGGTTTCACATATTTCAACTGATTAACATTATTCGTATATAATATTATAGTATTCGGATCTGCTCCGTATTTATGATAGACACGGATTTCCACCGGAGTCTAATTACCTCTTCTTGGGCGATTTCGTCGATCGTGGAAAACAGAACATCGAAACGATATGTCTCCAATTTTGTTATAAAATCAAATATCCTGAAAACTTCTTTATGCTTAGAGGTTTACTGTTTCAAATTGTCCAATTTAAGCCAAGTTTTCTAAATGTGTGATATATATCGACCTCTTAACCTGACTCATCACTTCTCTCGAATATCACTTCAACTTCATCTTTTTCTAAGGACAAACGATAAAAGTAACATTTAAAAAATTTACTCTTTTTGGATTCATTAATGGGATTTATGATGTGATGAATGATAGTTTCAATCAAGAATTGCTGATTAAGTCCTTCAGGAAATCACGAGACACCAGCTATCAATCGTGTGTACGGCTTTTTCGAAGAGTGCAATCGCAGATATCATTCGACGCGCTTGTGGAATGCTTTCCAGGTAGTTCTATGGACCTTACCGTCAAAAAGAAATTTATATAGAATCTTTGTGATCACATAGAACGTTTTCAGGACACATTCAACTGGATGCCTCTCTGCGGCTATATTGGTGGACGGATTCTGTGCATGCATGGTGGCTTGTCACCTCATTTGAATAATTTGGATCAGCTTCGCAATTTACCACGACCAATTGATCCACCAAACCCATCCATGGAAATCGATCTGCTCTGGTGATTATCAGTCACTGATATATTGCTGGACGGTATTACACGCAATATCGAGTTGAGTTTTAGATATTTACAGGTCGGATCCGGACCAATGGGTGAAAGGCTGGCAGGCAAACACTCGTGGTGCATCGTACACTTTCGGGCAAGATGTTGTTGTGGACGTTTGCCAGAAATTGGACTTAGATCTGATTGCACGAGCTCATCAAGTAGTACAGGATGGATATGAATTCTTTGCCAATCGGCGCCTTGTTACCATTTTCTCAGCGCCACATTACTGCGGACAATTTGACAATGCTGGTGGTACGATGTCTATTTCTGAAGACATGAACTGCTCTTTTCAGGTACACAAATACTGCCTACCAGATGAGATGCGGTGATTTGAGTCCAAATCTAGCCTTCTTTCAGAACACTCCAATTGTCGGCTCCACCCAATATTTCAGGTGTTTCGACCTGCTGGTAAGGCTGTAAGGATGGCAATGAAAGCTGCTGGAACTCTTTGAGCAAAAATGAATACCCCACGAAACGACGGAAATTGTTCAACCAATAATAAAACTAACCTAGATTAGTTATGAAGAATCCTGTGCCAACCTCATATATTTTGTACTCACTCGTCAGTTCAACATCCCTCTCCAATACCGAAAGTAGAAATGAGTACACACTCTAAATGACAAACATAATGGTTTACTTTCAGAGAGGCGGTTCGTTTACTACATACCACTTAGATACAAAGCGTTCCAGAACTCCAGAAGTCGTGTGAAATGCGACTGATTCTTCCCTTAAGCATCCAGAAATACTGAATCTAAGAGCTACAAAAGGAATCGGAACAGCTGAATGCCAAAGAAAATGCTTTAATAAGTTTAAAGTAATTACATTTAGTAGTTTCCAATTTTCGCCATAACGATCGGCTTCCCACTACCTGAGAGAAAATGAACAAATGTGAATTGGTTTGCGAATGTGTAAGCTTCCGACCGCCTGTTTCGTGTGCATAGTAATGTACTCAATTTTTATCAGAACAATATCATGAAGCTAATAATCTTTCACCACCATATATCTTAGAATCCACTAGCAAATACGAAAGTGTAAAATCCAATATGAAAGTAAAAATTAAGAGCAAAAACTTGAAATAAAATATTGTAAAGCAAGAAGTAAAGCATTATGAGAACAGAGAATAGAAGAGGTATTTTTCTGTACATTCTGGACGCCAATACGATCCAGAAATTGAGGTAGATATTGGCTGAATCGGCTACGCATGCGATACAGAGGAGGTATGGATATTGAAAGATCGAACAACAGAGGTATAATATTTAGAGAGCACCAACACAACACAATCACAGCAATATTAAAATGACATTCTATACATGAAAAAATTCTACAAACCATCAAATTCCAAGACTGTTTTAAACTAATTTAATATTCCGAAGTTGTGATAAATATATTTGCTTACCATTTAATGTGACTATACAAAGTCAAGGAATGTGCTAAGTCTTATTGTCTTATTGTTAATAAGACTCGTCAGAAGAGATGAATCCAAAGAAACGAAAAAATAATGAAAACACTTGCAAATCCCAAAGCAAGGTGTGAAGGACAACCTCAAAAGTCACTACTGATCTAAGACTGTGACCAGAAGACTAACTAGCATAACAGCTTTTTCCAAGAAAGAAAGGCAACGGTGTTTGAAATGTCCATCACAGTGTTGAGCAGAAAATACAGACATCCAACCTACCGTGGTTCTTAGATGATTAGCAAGTTCCACCTAACTGTCTCGCGAGGCGCAACTCTGAAAATAAACATCATCGGTATTTTATCACTGAATATGTGGGAAGTAAGAGATGTACTATCTAAAACCTCTGATTAACTGGTTATATCTTCCGCGCTAAACATGTAGTATTGCTTGAAGTTCTTACTTCACAATTTATGCAGATGACTGTTCCAACCTCTCGCTATGCACCAACAACTATAAATAGGGCATTCAGCTGAATTATTACTAATAACTAACCAACAGTTGAATCGGTAAAAGTTAACTTTGACCTTAGCCGTATGTCAGATGCTACCTAAGTGAAATAACACCCGAAAGAGCCTTAGTGACACTGACTATCACTGTGAAATCATTTCATTTAATTCAGCTGCTGAATACAATGGGTTCCATTTGAAATGAGGGCAAAAGGTGAAGAAAGCTAATTAATTTTCTTGATCTTTTTTCAACATCTAGATGTATCCAACGGTAAAGTACGCCTCCAATGCAAACAAAATGCATTCTTTCTTGTCAAAATGGCAACAAACATTGTGATGTGTTATGGTTACCTGCATTCCCGATATCTCCTGTAATATTTGCGACAATCTGTTCGACTTTCTCCAACTCCTTTTGGGAGTTACATCAAAGGTCACATTATTCTGGAATCAGAGAAATGCGTAAAAACAATCGAATATGTATCCATATGTTAGCATATTATATATACGCTCTATACATCATGTGCAAGTTTGTCGAGAATTAGCTGTAGACCTGATCACCGTCCAGCAGCCTTAACGGTACTAGAAACTTGGGCAAAATGAATGAACCCGTGCAAAAAAAACCACATTCGTTTCGAAACCCTACGCTCAAAGTAACGACACATCGTCATTATCGATACCAACAAAGTTGTTTACGACTGAAAACATCGATAAACGCGACGCGACGGCAACGCACCCTCTCTCTCTCCTTCTCTTTGTTGTGCGCTCCAAAATAGTTCGGTCTAGAGGAAGAGAGAGAGAGAGAGAGGAGGAGAGAGGAGGGAGAGAGAGAGAGAGAGGAGG